TGTGTGCGTGCGTGCGTAAGGGAGAGGGGTGGGACTAGCTAGCCTCGGGGAATAGGTTCAGGGGTGAGGAGATGTGGCGACGGTGGAAGGGTCTGTCCCTCAAGTTGACCTGGTATTAAAGGTCATCATGACCTGAGGTGTAATGAGATAGTAAGGTGGGATGGTCGGTTTGTGGGAAGCGGTAGAACTGATCTATGATGGATGACTCCATCCTGAAATTACTTCTTCCGTCTCTCACAATCAACGTCAGCAGCAGAAGAGAAATGTCATGTTGTAAACCAAAGTACAACTTTTTAACCATATATATATATATATATATATATATATATATATATATATATATATATATATATATATATATATATATATATACAGTTACTTAAGCTATTCTAGTAAAATCGAAACTTTAGGTCAAACATACAAAATATTTGAAAAAATCCCAGAACAGACTAAACCTCATATTTACTCTTCTAGCTAGAGAAAATGTATTAAGATTCTAGCTTTTAGTGTGATTAACGAGTTCCTCTAAAGACATTTTGTGTTTTATTCTCTTGTTTTTATATCTTGTTATTCTAAAGAGTGGGTTGATACTTTAACACTGAAACCATGGATCTAGTTTTGACACTTTTAATAACTGAAGATTAAATGCCGATAATATCCCATTGTTCTTGTTTTGACAAAGTTAATGATTAAAGATTAAATACCGATAAGATTCAATTTTTCCAATTTTCACATAGTTAATGACTAAAGATGAAATGCCGATAATATTCCATTGTTCAAGTGTTGATATCGTTAATGACTAATGATAAAATGACGATAATGTTCCATTATTAAAAAATCTCCTTAACTGACCTTACCTTCCTTTTACTATCCCCTTTCCAAACGGCGGTAAAAAAAAAACCATGCATTTTAATGTTGTTTTGGTTTTTTTTATTGCTTTGCATTTTCAACATTCAGATAGGGGTTACCTTGACCCTTATTTTGGTAAAAATATTTGTAAATTAAAAACAAGTATTTAATTTTTTATTCTAGATGGCTTCTGAATTATATATCCTTCAAATAAGATGCTTCTTTGTAATAGTTATCCAGAATTGTATATTAAAATAAGGTTTACTGACATTTTACTCTATTGCGGCACGCTATGAATTTGTTTTTGTACACATGCCATAATTCCCATAATTCCCATAATTCCCATAATTCCCATAATTCTCATAATTCTCATAATTCCCATAATTCTCATAATTCCCATAATTCCCATAATTCTCATAATTCCCATAATTCCCATAATTCTCATAATTCTCATAATTCCCATAATTCCCATAATTCTTGACAGACGAGATGAAACTTGATATATTATATCAGAACACACATACCATCTTTTCCATACATGTAATAATTTTTGGACCAAAATCCTAAGGTCTTATGGGAAAGGACTATTATATTTCAATTATATTATAATGTAAACTGTGTTAATAGGTGGACACGGCCAGTAAAGTTCCCCTTCTAAACCTGACGGTCTATGGGGCAAGTGAAGTAGTGTTCACTTGTTTTTGTGACCTCGGCATCTGAAGGGATAGTGTGGTCAGCACTATGCCCAGCCGCCTTTACTTTTCCAAATGTGAGTTGTGTATCCATTAGAGATGGGTGGACTCAGGAACAGTCAACTGACTTGAACCCGGATTCGAACTCGAGCCTTACTGTTCAGCAGTCTAGCTCTCTACCATTAGGCCACTTCGTCTCATGAGCAACCAGTACACCGGTGGGGAACGGTGCTGTAATACGTCTGATTGTGATTTGATTTATAAACTAATATAGCTAATTAACTGTTTCGGCCCGATTCAATTTTTTTTATTCTGTTTCCTCAAACCACGTTGCATGAATTCAAATATAAATCTCAGTTTAATTCAAATAAAAATGTACGTTTAAATAAAATCAAAATCAAGGTTAACTAGATTTACTAGTTGGATGATTACAGTATTTGGACATTATGCTCAATAAAAATTAAAGTCAAGATGGAGGAACCACTTTTCAGAAATTGGACACTTGAACACAACCACTCTACCAAAAAATCACTGTGGACACAACCACTCTACCAAAAAATCACTGTGGACACAACCACTCTACCTATTACTGTGGACACAACCACTCTACCAAAAAATCACTGTGGACACAACCACTCTACCAAAAAATCACTGTGGACACAATCACTCTACCTACCACTGTGGACACAACCACTCTACCAAAAAATCACTGTGGACACAACCACTCTACCAAAAAATCACTGTGGACACAACCACTCTACCTACCACTGTGGACACAACCACTCTACCTATCACTGTGGACACAACCACTCTACCTATCACTGTGGACACAACCACTCTACCTATCACTGTGGACACAACCACTCTACCTATCACTGTGGACACAACCACTCTACCTATTACAGTGGACACAACCACTCTACCTACCACTGTGGACACAACCACTCTACCTACCACTATGGACACAACCACTCTACCAATCACTGTGGACACAACCACTCTACCTACCACTATGGACACAACCACTCTACCTATCACTGTGGACACAACCACTCTACCTACCACTATGGACACAACCACTCTACCTATTACAGTGGACACAACCACTCTACCTATTACAGTGGACACAACCACTCTACCTATCACTGTGGACACAACCACTCTACCTATCACTGTGGACACAACCACTCTACCTACCACTATGGACACAACCACTCTACCAATCACTGTGGACACAACCACTCTACCTACCACTATGGACACAACCACTCTACCTATCACTGTGGACACAACCACTCTACCTACCACTATGGACACAACCACTCTACCTATTACAGTGGACACAACCACTCTACCTATCACTGTGGACACAACCACTCTACCTATCACTGTGGACACAACCACTCTACCTATTACAGTGGACACTACCACTCTACCCACTGTGGACACAACCACTCTACCTATCACTGTGGACACAACCACTCTACCTATTACTGTGGACACAACCACTCTACCTATCACTGTGGACACAACCACTCTACCTATTACTGTGGACACAACCACTCTACCTATCACTGTGGACACAACCACTCTACCTATCACTGTGGACACAACCACTCTACCTATCACTGTGGACACAACCACTCTACCTATCACTGTGGACACAACCACTCTACCTATCACTGTGGACACAACCACTCTACCTATTACAGTGGACACAACCACTCTACCTATCACTGTGGACACAACCACTCTACCTATTACAGTGGACACTACCACTCTACCTACCACTATGGACACAACCACTCTACCTATCACTGTGGACACAACCACTCTACCTACTACTGTGGACACAAACACTATACCTATTACAGTGGACACAACCACTCTACCTATCACTGTTGGCATATATATTCTACTAAACTATATTACAACAACAAACTATATCCATGGTTACCCAGATAGCTTTAAATGAATTGGAGAGACTTTAAACGTTTTTAAACTGCAAGCTTAAAGTTACAAGGGAGATAATGTGTGGATATATCTGTTTTTTTGGAAGATAAAATAGTTTAGAGAGGATAAGAGAGGGTATTGGAGGGGAGGGTGTCAGAGGACTTTATCAGGTATTCGAAGGTGAAGGGGATTAATAATATGAGAAAATGACAAGGGTGGGAGGTAAGTTGTGTAAGAGAAAAATATGATAGTTGGTGGAGTGGGGTAGTGGATTCATTTTGGAGGGAAAGGTATGAAAGGAGATGGTAGAGAATACTACATAAAGGGATTATATCAGGTTACGTAAAGGAAGGGTATGTCAGGCGGTGGGGTATGAAATAATGTTAAGGGAGTATGGGGCAGCAGGTTGGAAGGGGTGGGGGGATACGTAAAGAAAGAGTAAAGGGAGTATACGACAGAGTGCCACCCGAAACTAGGATAAAGGATTTCTCTGTGAGGCATGGACGAGGGAAAATTACATCTTTGTTCCAAAGGGGGGGGGGGGGGAGGGCGGGGCGCTTCAGTTGCCCGCGTGCCCCGTTCAAATGTTCAGGAAACTGTTTTTAAACGATTAAAAAATAAATCCTTTTTCAAATAAACAGACCTTAAATGTGGATTTGTATGTACTTTTATGTACGCATGTACCGTCTATACACGCAGGGTTTCTAAATCTCCTTTATCGTCTTATATTATCTAATTTTATCTATCATTGGCTCGAAGTGCTGCTCTTGCATAACTTCGATTCCTGATATTTAATTTATTCTCAATGAATACAGTTTGCATAATACATATTAAATGAGAAAAAATGGTTATGAAATATTTCAAAATAGAATATTTTAAAAGACATATTTCTAATGTCACACTTCTGATAGAATTGTAAATAATTAATATTTCTAACGGAATATTGCTAATGGAAGACTTCTAACGTAATATTTAAATAGGAATACTTCAAATTAAATAGTTTTAATAAATTATTTGTAATAGAATATTTCATTGGAAATCTCTCTATGCACTATAAGAACAAAGCGAGGTCTTGTTATTGGGCTAGGTGTTATTAGCATTAAGAATGGTGCAGCGATTACAGTTCAGTTGGTATCTAAAAGCTATTTAATCAAATGTAATGTTCAAAGACTACATTGTAATTGCTTTTAAAACATTAGCCGTTTTAATTTATTTTTAATATTTTCTTTAAATTTTTGTAAGTATTATTTTATGATTTTAAAATCAGCTTCTTTAATTTGAGCGTATATATATATATATATATATATATATATATATATATATATATATATATATATATATATATATATATATATATATTACTTATAAACATTTTAATTGTTTGCTGAGCTACTAAGTATAGTCCTACAGATTCACATTTTAAATACAAAATAGAAAAAACAACGCATATTTTCACCCATACTGTCAATGTTACAGACAGATTCAAATGCCAAAGTTTTTCCTTACCTTTATGCTATAATATTAGATCTATATCCCGCACAGAATAATGGCTAATTTATATTCATGTGAATGGCCTGAAAATTGTGCCGAGTTCTATCTCCTAGGTCAAAATTTAAGTTTTATATATTCTTGAATTTGGCCTAGATTTTTAAAAAAATACCTGGTCTGTTTTATTTGTACTAGCGTACAGTGAATCCTATAGGAGCCTCTGGCCTGAATCCAAGCATTATATGAAAGCGTTCATGCGTGCTATATTGTAGACGTAAGATTAAAAAGTAATGGTGTAACGTTAATGGTGTCTGAATGTATAGACAGTTGGGTTTTGTTGAATATCTTTAGGTTAATTACTATGAGACTACCAACGGAAGATAAAGATTTTTGCTTATGGTACCTGTGTTCAATTAATCACCGTCTAATACAAATACTTTATCTGTGTTTACATGGGTGGGTGGGTGATGTGCTGGTTGAGCTTTAGGGGTGGGGGTATATGCAAATAAAATTGTTACGTGCTGTTTTGTAGAAAAAAAAGTTAAGAAACGCTGTCTGTATTTTGTACACCGTAACTCTAAGCCTGACACAATTCTCGTTACATTGTAGCCTTAAAAGCGAAGTCTACTTCTAACCTTAGCCCTAAACGCTTGTCAAGTATCGGAATCCTATAAATTTTAATGGAAAAGTACTGCACACACAGACACACACACACACATACACACATACAAAGTACAGACAAAACAACAGTGGTGAATTGTGTGTAAATCAATTTCATGTTTCGACATGATTTTTCCTCTAACCCAAAGCAATAATAATAGACAACGGTGTGTGCTTATTATTTTCACCTCCCCTTCCCCCACCCTCCATTTTTATAATATATTAGGAGCCAGCCTCTCCTTTAAATATCACACGCAAATCACGCCCCAGTTTTGGTACCAGGAAAAAAAAGGAAATTACATTGTTACAGAAAATTAACAATAATCTATCATCATTAGAAATAGTTCAATGCCTTATTGTTTGTAAAAACGAAAAAAAATGTATAAGTCTAATATAAATTAGCTTGTGCGTATAAAAATAAGAAACACAAAAAATATTGAACTAGCCCCCATAACTTATCACAAACATAACATATTGATAATTCACCCCATATATCACATTGTGTTATATAATAGTATATATATAGCATTCGTGTTATATAATGTGTGAACGATAACTGTTACATAAAACATATGTGTTTATCATACAAAACCAGACATGGAAAGTTGGGCACATCCCATATAAACATACATATAACCTGCCGAGGCTTATCGCTGTGTTAACAAAACAAATATTTCCATACTGATGACATAATATTGTTCACTACACAATAGATCTATTGTCCGAGATGGAAGATTAAATATGAAATACCACCACAGCCAAGTCATTTTTTTATTAAATGACAACTTTGAAGCACCATACATTACTGAATAAAGTAAGAGAAGCAGGGTAGATAATTCTTTTCATTTCACAAAAACACCAGGGTAAACGGATAACCATCTATGCTAAATAAGGAATTACTGTCTTATCCAGGGACATGGGCTGGGTGCAGTCTTTAGCCCTATGCATTTAAATTAGCTGTTTTAACTTGGCAGGAATGTCCATTAGCTTTAGTAAGGGCGCATTTTTTTTTATTTTTTATTTTTTTTTTTGCAGCTTCAAGTTCGCTGTCGTCTTCATTGTATAATAAAGTAATCAACATGTTTTGGATAATTCGAACTTTGTATATGTGATGTTTATTTGATAACACATATAATTATATGTGACTGCAAGTGTAATAACGTGTTGCGAGGGCAGGCTCTTGTTAGTGGAGTAGAAAAGCGAAATGTATTAGCATTATCATTTCACTTAAGTACATAAACCCATACAAATATACGCATGTCACATACACAGTATACTCATGACATACACACCTACTTCAAAACACACATATAAAACTACAATGAAAGCATAAATACACAACGTTAATTACAAGTATTCAGGCACTATCACACACATGTTAGTGAACGTTCACTTAAACACACACTCGTTATGTCACAAACACACACATAAGAGATTTTACACAAGCATACACACAGATGGACGGACTTACAAAAACACACACGATTATATAAAATGGTTTACACAAACACACACACATAAACGAATATAAAAAAAAAACTCTCTCTCTCTCTCTCTCTCTAAAACGCACACACACACACACACATACTTAAATAGACAAACAACTTAGTAGACAAACACATACACACATAAAAGGACACATACACACACGAACGGGACTACACAAACACGCACTCGTAAAGTGATATATGCAAACACACACCCACAGATGAACGGACACATACACGAATAGACATACACAAACACAATCAGGTAACGGTCAAAAATGATAACTTCGTACACTGTCTCTCCATAACGTTGAATCAATACACTCATAATGTCAGTCTTAGGGTGTCTTGCTGAACCCCACGCCCCACCCCCACGTACCCTGACCTACGTCACTGGTGTACATACATCATACTATGTCAACATATTTTCCTCAACACCACACATACACCCTAATACACCCACAAACCTTTAGGGTTCGTGTATTTATAAACGACGTCACACTCCCAGGGTACGGGTGTGTTCGGATAATTGTGAGGATGGGGGGAGGGGGGGGGTCAAAAGTGGGAAGACGCACTTGAAAAACTTTTGAAAAAAATCTTAGTTGTTAAGTAAAAATCGTTTTTAGAAAGCTTGCCGTCGTTTGTGTATGACCCCTTAGAATATGTTGATAAAATTGAGATTCATGACTTTCGTCTACATATTAAATGAACAGAGTGTAGCATAGGCGTTCAGTATTCATTGTTAAATAATTTAAAAGTTAATATGTTTTCCTTTAAAACGATACCCAAGTTCAATTGCCAAAGTAAATCAACAGCCTACAAAAATTCTTTGTTTAAAAAAACGTTTGTAATTAAATAGCTGTCACACAATTGTTTTCGCTTTTTTACCTTTTTGGTGACATGAGTTCAGAAGTATCCAATGTAATAAATACCAACTGCTTAAGAAGATCTATTTATTCTTGAAATTACCATGAAACTTCGTTAATAATCGAAGCGAGTCGATACCTTTTCGGTGGACATCACTACAAAGGTTTTAAAATGTAGTTCAAGCGTTACTTTCCTTTTAATCCAGTCCAGAACAATTCGAGATAAATTCAAGAAAATTACGAGATAATTACGAGATAATTGCGAGATAATTGCGAACATATAACTTTAACGAGTAAAGCACGACAATGTCTAGATATCTTTGTCTGCGATAAGAATTAAACTGACGCATATATCAAGGTAGTAATGAGTTATAATTATAATTGAGACGTCTGCCGTCAATGATTGGCTAATTGTTAATGCGTTTGCTTGTGTAAGGTAGGTCATGGTCCCAAGGTAAGTTGAGTATAACAGCAGTCCAGCAGTAAAGAATTACAGGCACTAGTACTCGATATAAATATAATCATGGCGACTAATTGGTAAATGTTTATACAATGGGGTGGTTGCTTTATTATTTTAAGACCTTTATTTAACATAGTAGTAAAATGTATTAACACTGTATGAGCTATTTGAGGTTCCAACCAATAGCAATACAAGTTTAAACCTGTGTTTGCTTTATCTCATTTACTAAAACTGCGTAAATCAACAACACAATCAATTCCTCATCAGAACACACAACCAACTACATACAACAAAAATACACACCGAATCACCCACCAATCAACATTCAATCGTTAAACCATTAAAAATCAAACCACATACTTAACCACACACACACACACACACCGCATCAAACGTCAAGTCCCACACACGCTAACTCACATACCATTTCACACACACACACACACACACACAAAACCAGATATAAAAACAACACACACCACATACACACACGATAATGCACACACAAAAAGAAACTATATACATCCACCCCTATTAAACACGATAAAGAACTGTAATATAGCGAAACAAAACATAAAATAGATAGTGGAAACTGAAAAACAAAATACTGCAGATATAAAGAAAATGTAAATATATCAGTTTCAATTAAAAGTCAATATTTTCCTTTTCGCTGTCGATGTGAGGTGATATGCATGTGACTAACGCGGTCAAGGTTTTTTAAATTATAATGACAGATAATTATGCGATCAGCGAAGCTATCACATGGTGGTAGCATGACTAAAAACGCGACATTGGCCTGGGTTTAGGAAACAACAAAAAAAAAAAAACGATTTCTAGTCTACATATTAAGCTAAAATATTACGAACCGAGATGAGAATTTAAATTATAAAAGAGGTCCCATTATTATTCAGCATTCGTTGGATAAAATGTGCCTCTATGCACGATATAAGATGCGATTACAATAAATGGATACGGGAAGAGAGAATTGTGTGGGCAGAGAACTCCTGGGAGGCGTTACCCCAGTAAGATAGAGAACTCTGTCAATATATTGTTAATGGCCCAAATTTCAACAGGAAAGAGAACTCGTGAAAGCTGTGGTTGTAAGAGAAAGAACTCTGTACGGTGATCTCACGTCAATGTGATATTTACTACATAGCCTCACTGTTCGTTTGCGACTAGCATTGTGAACTTATAATTGAAAATGTGTGTATCAGATAGTAATTTGTAATTTCACATTTTCTTAATTGAAGCTATAATTGACTATAAGGAGAAGTGTATTCTAGACCTCACGTACAAGTATAACCTAATCTTTTTGCAGAAGTTAAATCTATATATGGTATAGAGGTGTAATCTAACCTTATAGAGAAGTGTAATCTGACATTATAGAGAAGTGTAATCTTACCTTATAGAGAAGTGTAATTTAGACCTTATAGAGAAGTGTAATCTAACCTTATAGGGAAGTGTAATCTAGACCTTATAGAGAAGTGTAATTTAGACCTTATAGAGAAGTGTAATCTAGACCTTATAGAGAAGTGCAATCTAGACCTTATAGAGAAGTGTAATCTAGACCTTATAGAGAAGTGTAATCTAGACCAATGAAGAAGTCCAGACCCATTAAGAAATGATAACGGATACGAAAAAGGAAAAACCGCGGCCAAGAACATCTTGGTAGAATTAAGGTCACCTTACATTATCTGCTGCTTGTAAACTTTTAATGTGTGGCTACGTGTTTAAAGCTCCCGATTATTGAGCTCAGATCTAAGTTAATAGTAGTAGACTGTCCTAAAGCATATTCCAGCTCTTATTGGTACCTGGAGTAAATTGGGGGATTACGGTTGGGAGTGGTCCT